AGTTGATGTGCACACGAGTCGGTATGAAGAAAAACCTGTAACAGCGATCGACTATTTTTCAGGAGATGGAGTCAAACCAAATTCTCAGCTGTTCTCAAGTAGGCGGCAGGTGCAAGTGGACCGATGCATTGGTTCCTCTGAACAAGGTGAGAGAGAGGAACCTCTTTTGTGACGCGGTGTTGAGGTTGGACGACGGCGGCGTCTTTCCAGTCCACAGATTGATTCTGTCGATGGACAGCGAATATTTCAGGTTTGTTCATTTACTGACGTGGTTGATTAACACGTGAAGTAAGGACATGATAGACGTCAATTCGTTTGTGAAATGTTTTACCCCCTTGGTTCCGCAGTGGCCGCGTGGTCTGAGGCGTGGGCCTTGTGCCGCTCGGACACTGGGACCGTGGGTTCGAATCCAACTCAAGGCGTGGATGTTTGTCCGCGTTCTTCTTTGATGTGCTGTCCTGTGTACAGGTAGAGGCCTTTCGACGGGCCGATCCCTCATCCAAGGAGTCCTACCGAATGTCTATAGATCGAGCCAACGAGAAATTGGGACCCGCAGTGCTCAGGCACTTGAAAAACGTATCGTTCCCAGTATCCCAGTTTATCCCCTTTGTTGCAGAAACCTGCATTGTTACACGGCTTAATGTCTTTTGTTATTTGTTCATTGTCATGAAATCTCACGGCGCCGTAGAAACTGATTGGCATTTCAGACGTACTTACTGCCTTATTTCCCTGATGATGGGGGCAGTAAGCACGTCTGAAACGTCCGATAATTTCTACGACGCAACATCCCAGAAGACGTACGTGGTCTTTTGTATTAACGTTTAAGTGCGGTTGTACCAAGGTGACAGTCAATCGATCTGGAGGGAGAAATAGAATCCATTTCCAAATCGTCTTGGTTTTAATACATAAAGACGACCGACAAAGTCCAGAAGAAAGTTGGTAATGCCCGGAACATTGAGAGCTGCTGTGTGTTGCTCTGTCTGAAATAAACTGTAACAAAGATCTTCGCGAGAAATGTTTCATTGGTAGGAGAAACTCGATCGATAATTTATGAATACATTAATTTGCTTGTTTTAAATAAAATCGCGGTGCATTCTTGAAATGAGAAATGAATTTTAACCACGAGCCATTGAATCTGTCTTCCAAGAGACGTATCTCACGTCTTGGTACAAGCTGTGCCCTCTTTCAGTTTTTAGACTATCAAATCTTTCCGTTTGTCTTGCACTGCAAAACCCTTAATTTGTAATAGGAAATTCTTTGCTGGTTGGTGATCACTTTTTAAAGGCCGCGTAGAAACATCGGCTTTTCTTTTAAGTTGTTTATTGTCGGGGAAATCTTTTGACAGAACAAATAATTTCATATTACGAACCGATCAATCATTGGAATGTACAGCCTGCGATGTGTGTTGAAATATTTGCGTTGGCTTATAATTTCTGTAATAGTTGTTATAACCTCAGATATCTCTTGAAGGAGTCAAGGGTATGTAAGAAACGAGGTGACCATTCTATAGTTCAAATGTTCGCTGCTTGCTTTCCGATTTTTATGTTAAATTCTTTTAAGCTTTCGCCCGCTTTTGAACCTCTCGCATTTAATCCGGTCCCATTAGTACACATTCTGGGAATTTTTTAATTATTTAGGTAACAAAAATTCATCCACCACATTGACGTAAGGATACTTTTATTTGGCTACGTGAGACATAAAGACTTAAACTTTACGAGCATGACTTGTAATTTTCTGCTCGCCGTTTCTCCAAATCGACGTTCCAGGACCCTCTTCACAACAACACTGCACACCA